ACACTGCTGACTCATGTTCAGTGTATGGTCTACTAAGACCCCTAGATCCTTTTTGCACATGCTACTGCCAAGACAAGTCTCCTCCATCCTGTAATGATGCATTTGATTTTTCATACCTAAATGTAGAACTTGAAATTCATTTTATTTGTTTTATCCCAGTTTTCCATCCTGTCAGTATCATCCTGTATCCTGACTCTGTCTTCTACTGTATTTGCTACCCCTCCCAATTTACTATCACCTGCACATTTAATAAGCATTTCCGCTATTCCTTCATCCAAATCATTGATAAAGATGTTGAACAAAACAGGTACCAGGACAGATCCTTGTGGCACTCCACTTTTTACTCCTCTCCAAGAGGATGAGGAACCATTAACAAGCAATCTTTGGGTGCGATCTGTCAGCCAGTTACAGATCCACCTAACAGTCATAGGATCCAAACCACATTTTACCAATTTGTCAACAAGAATATTATGTGGAACCTTATCAAAAGCCTTACTTGAAATCAAGATACACTATGTCCACAGCATTCCCCTGATCCAGCAAGGTAGTAAATTTCTCAAAAAAAGGAAGTGAAGGTGATTGTAAGCCGCTCCAAGACTCTTTCCGGTAGTGAAGGATGAGGTATAAAACCAACTGTCCTCCTCCTCTTTCTTCTTCCTTCTTCTTCTTTCTTCTTCTTGACTGGTCTTTAGCAGGTACGATTTCCCAAGCTTAAAGTTGACTCGGCTGTATAAGAAGCAAAGATGAACCCTAGCTTTCAGTGCTATTAGATTGCTTAGAGTATCCTGTTATACATTTTGTCTGAATAAAACCTTGCTTTAGAAAGCATTTCACTTGTTATGAAAGAAAATGAAATAATAGGACTAAATAGTAGGACCCCCCCCCCCGAACCTCCAAATTTCCATAGTGACAATTGGGGAAAAAAATCCTTGTCGGAGAAGAAAGGAGATTTATTTATTTATTTATTTATTTGCATTTCTCTCCCGCCCCGAGCCTTCGTACCTCCAGTTATTGCTAGTTTGGTTATAAAGACATCTGTCATGGGGAAATGAAATGTTATCCAAGGCAAAAATATGGTGAAATGTTTTGAAATGGTGCCATTTCCTCTGTATACTTAAGTTTAGTCATGTTGAAATATCTGCTTCTTAAACGTCTTGGATACAGTGCAGGTTGTTTCCTCTTGCTCTTAATATACACAGCAGTGATGCCCATTCTGTAGCTGTGGAGCCATAGTTGGCTCTTTGACATGTTACCTGTGGTTTTCCCCCAATGTTGCACCCACCCCATGTTCCAGGAGAAAGACCAAGGTCTCTCTAACTATCAGATTTTATGTGGGACTGAGGATATTTGCTCCAGATGGCTATAAAGCAGATCATAAAGCAATGATGATTTTTTGTGGTGAGTGAAATAAAGTGGCTGTATAAAAAGCAGGTGCTCAAGGCAGTTGTAGGACTCGGTACACTGCTTACTGTGATATTTGTACTACTGAGTGGCAGTTGAATGGCTTCTTTCCTTAAAAAAAATTAATTCAGTTATTTAAAAAATGCCACTTTCTGAAGAAAAATTGCCTCAAAGCAATCAAACAATGCACTGGTGTGGCTGACACAGAAAAGTGTTAACAGAGTCCCAGCAAATATCTTACTCTAGTCTTGCCAGTGACCTTCACGGCTACAGGCTTTTGTCTGGTTTACATTTCTGTCAATTTGTAGTTGGTAGCCTGTAACTCCGACATGAGCCAGAAGCATGTGAAATCTCATTTTGCGCTCTAATTCTACTTCAGGCTTGATATTGCTGATGCAGGATTAGAGAAGGCCTCGATAATCTGAGGCAGAAGTCTCTAATTGTTAATAAATCTGTCTCTGACCTCTCACTAATTACAGTTTCCCAATGAGCCCCTTCTATTTTTTTTTTTTAATTTATCCTTCGACTTGATATACCGCCCTAACCCCCGTAGGGGTCTCTGGGCGGTTTACAATTCTTGGGTGCTAATCACCTATCTCAATCCTAACTATGGCCACACATTGGTACAAGGGGGGGGGGGAGTTCCCTACCAGCACCCTGGTGAAGGCTTTTTTCCCGGCTCGGCTTCTTCTGGCTATATACGATGTCCGGTGCTCGGCAGACAGGCGGGTGTGTGTGGATCGCCGGCGACGTCGTCCTCGGCCCGATCATGTCCTTTCCGGCTCCGCGCGCCTCCGGATGACGTCGCTGCGACTCCAACCTCTGTTGACGGCAGCCACCTTGTTCTTTCGCTGCTGGCCACCAGGGATCAGTCTGGCTCTGCTGCCGCCGCTTGCTGCCTCTCAGTGTTGCGCCGCCTCCTCCAATCACCGCTGCCGCTGCTCCGCTGCTGCCGTTGTTCTCGCCATCGCCATCGCCGCCATTTTTGCCAACGCCGCTGCCTCTCCACACACCTCCATGGGCGGAGGAGGGTGCCCCCCACCCTACTAAGGGTGGGTACCCAT